TTTCAAATGTCCATGTTTCGCAGCCACATTGAAAATATTGTTCACTTCAAGGTGTTTATAGCTTTAGAAATTAACAAATTTGTATGCTACAACAAACATTTATTTCTTGGTTTCTTATACCTTCTCTGAACAAACAGTTAATCATCGCTCATAAATCTATTAATTTATGAAATGTGATTGTTATTCTGTAAATTGACAAAAATTTTACATACTACTAATATATATTTACATTTGTCTATAGAGAATCAATAAATTACACTACATCTTTGTAGATTAACTTTCCCATTGTGATACATAGCAGGACTCTAGTCAAAGGTATATAGACTACGATGTTTAGTTGTCCAATGATTTACTATAATGTTTTGCATATTATAGATATATGTATACGAGTTTGTATGTGTATGTTCTATTCACATTCTTTTTCGAGAAGACAATTTTCCATTTTCTTTAGACAGGCAATTTTCTTTGATGAAGTCTACACTATGTAAAACTAAACAACAAAGAACTATTAGTAGTCAAATGTTAAAGTTACAAGTTCATATCACATGAAGAAGATTACAGTCCTATTAAGAAAGAAGAATAGGATCTACACCATTAGTGTTCAGATGTACGTGTCATTTGATTGGATACTATTCAAGATAGTGTTTTCAACGACATTCAATTTACTGGTAATCTACAACATAAATTAAGGATAGATGACGTTGTTATTCATCGTAGAGTGATATCATTTAGAGGAGCGAAAGAAACCTGGGAGCACTGGAAAGCTGTTTCGTCCTAGTATGGAACTCCTCAGCAGTGCGCACCCACGACCCCACCCTCCCGGGATCGAACCCATGACCTTCAGGTTCCATGGCCAGCATGTTACCATTGAGCTAGCCACTAGGTCAGAATCCAATGGTCCATGAGAAGGAATTCATTAGATAAGGATTTATTCACCGGTCACTTTCAATTAACTACCATGAGAGTTTTAAAAATTCCCATCATCAACAAGACATAAGCGAACAATATTGTTTTCAGTTATACCCTCTTCAGGCTTTTCTCTAATATAAAATAGCTTAATATACATAAAAATTAAACCATTGATGTAGGTTTGTTGGTTAATTTGATAAAGGTTTTAAGACTAACAATGGTGATAATAATAATAAAGTTGACTAAAGCACATTGAATATAGATGATAAGGATGATAACAACTAAGAGAGCAGCATGAAAATGTAGACACTCCGATAATCAAACTGGGCCGAGGCTTATAAAAATAAAAGTTACACAATACTGAAGGATGACGTAAGCGGATAAACAAAGTCTAGACAAATATAGTAAGTATACGAAAGGGGTGAAGAATAAGAAAAGGGGTAGGAAGAAAAAGACAATGATAAAGTTATTAACTAAATATTCTCTGACCAAGGGAGAGATAAGAGATGTACAAACTTCTGGATACAAAGACTTGGATGATTAGCTCGAATTCCCACAGCTTCTGCTATGTGTAAAAGATGAGTTTGAATACCTTTCGAAAGATGAGATGGTACGTGGTGAATAATCGTGAAAGCATTGTTCTTATCTATAAAGTGACCACTATCAACAAGGTGAGATAAAACCGAACTTCTGATGAATTTTTTCTGTCCCTTTCCCAACCATGAAGGTATATACTGAGCAACACGTTTGTTAAGTTGTCTAGTAGTACTCCCTACATAACATTCTCCACAGGAGCAGCTAAACTTGTAAATCTACATGGAAATGGAAAAACTAGATACCTTATCTTTTGTTTGGGCAGCAACAAATGGTTCATTGAAAAAAAACAGACACAGTTGTACGGCGTAGAAGGTCCTCTTAATGGCTTTAGAGAGTCTCTGATATAAAATTTCTGCAGCCACATCTCCATTAAATTGCAATTTTACAAACAAAAGTTTCTTTTGTATGGTAATAATTCCAGGTTTGTTCCTCTGGGCTTTTTCCATGTATCTTTTTATGAAGTTGTTAGAGTAGCCCATTTCAACCAACGAATTATGAATATAATCTAACTGTTTCTGTTCTAGATCATCCGAATATATTTTCTCGCTGTTAGTGAGGCTTTTGACCAGGTTTACTTTTTACCGAATTGGTACATGACTAATAAAATATGTGTACTGACTTATATATGTGGCCTTCCGGTAAATGCATTTGCTAAGTGAACATTCTTCTCTTCTGCCTAGTAAAAACATTCAAGAAGTGTAGTTTACTCACATTTTCTTCCTCACAAGTGAAATTGAGTGAACGGCGCACCTCATTAAATTTTCTAAACACCTCGTTTGTATCCATATTCTGATCCAGGATAATGGTGATACATAATCATCTCCTTAATGACCTCTCTCAATGCTCCGTTATCCAGTTTGGCAAGAAATATGTCAGCTAAAATAGGGCCGAATGGTGAACCCATAGCCATCTCATCAATCTGTCTATAATGAGAGCTATTGAAGACAAAATGTACATTCATAGTACATCTAAGGAGTAGTTCCATGAAGGTGTGTATAGGGATTCCGATGTTGAATTACATTTCCGATATTTGTTGACAGATAAAGTCTGCCATCTCCAGTAATGGTAAATTAGTTAATAGTGACGAATTATCAAGCAATGTCTTATGTTTTCCGTTTACATTCATATTATCTAGCTTAGAAGTAAATTCAATGACATCTTTTACACTGTGGTTAACTAATTCTTTTTTTTATAAGGGATATAAAATTCTTACTAGCCATTTAGCAACTGAGTAGTATGTGGAATAAACATGTCACATCAACCGACAAACCAACATGATTGGTTTCTATATATATATATATAGGCGATATGAGGCAAGGCAAGGCAAGGCGAGGCAAGGCATCGAAGGAAGATGAGAGTTCTTTCGGGTGGACGTAGAGAAGGCAGTGGTGATGAAGATGCCCTGCTACCACCACCACCAACAACAACAACAAGAACAGGCTCCAATAGCCATGTACTGGAGGAATTGAAAGGAAGTTGTCTCTTTCACCTACCTACCTGCCTACCTACCTACCTACCTACCTACCTACCTACCTACCACCCCACACCTACCTACCTACCTACCTACCACCCCACACCTACCTACCTACCACCCCACACCTACCTACCTAGACAGGTGGCATCGTTTCAACTACAAGTGGCGACACACACAAGGACGTGAAACCCATTGTCAGAAGGACAGAAAGACAGGCAAGCCTCCCTTTATCAATCTGAAATAATCGGTGTGGAGATCTAATTCACTCTGCCCAGCATAAGGCGTGAACGTGATCTGGATTTTCAACACTGATGCCAGTCAAGTAAGCCAGTGCTTCCATGTGCTGGTTCAGAGACTTGGTACGTTACGATTAGCATTTCTAACAAATTGGAGACATGCATCATCAACAGCTGCAGACTACGCATACGCTCAGTCGGTACTGAAGATGAGATGGATGGGGAGAGTAATAAGAATCAGTAAGGAGGAACTCTGGCTGGCTGGCTGGGAAGTAACCAACGAAGTAACAACCTGCTGCCGAAGAGACATGCAGAAGAAGGAAGTGGAGATGGATTGGATTGTATTGGATTTGTCATAGACTGAGAAGACCGATTCGTGACATCATGTGCCATGCGAGGTGCTCGAGTGTAAGGGAAATGGGAAACGACGAGTTTGGTGTGTGAGGTGAGGGTGGCATGGATGAGATGGTGTGAGGAAGAGGTGAAGGGTTATGGGGATTGGTGGAGGCAGGTTGGAAAGACTGGAGAGAAGTGAGTGGAATAATGACGTGCTACTGAATCCCTATTTCCCACTGGGAAGTCAAGGGACAAATAATAATAAATCCAATATAATTTGGCTGAGGATTTGATTGAGTATTGGATCTTTGTTCATTGAATCTGCGCTTATCATATATTATAGAACTGATGTAACGTCTATATACTAGAGATATGGAAAATTTTGCTACCAATGGGAGCATATAATCTGAGGTGACAGGACTAAAAAAGTGAGATATCAAAAATAGCGTGATTACGTTAATATGATTATGACCAATGATAATTTATGCTTGAAACGTCATCAAATGAATAATACTTTATCACATTGCGTGTTATATATCAAATAAACAAATCTTATATGGAATTATATTCTACCACACTACCGAAGGTTTACACTTATATTAAGAATGGGTAGGACTTCAACAAAAAATCAAGTTGTTATTCATCGTAGACTGACATCAGTTGCAGGGACAGAGGAAACCTGGGAGCACTGGATAGCAGTTTCGTTCTAGTATGGAACTCCTCAGCAGTGCGCACCCACGACCCCGCTAGGGATCGAACTCCCTCAAAATCCAAAAAACATCAAGTGTTGCCAGGCCAGTGTTCACGCTAGTGAGTCACAGGTTGATATGGGAACACGTAAGCAATCGTCGGCAAGTTGTTTTACTGCCAAGGGGTTTTTCATTTTTAGCTATATATATATCATAGTGAACTCCTTTCGCGTAGTCTTCTTAACTGATTATTTTTCCTCTATATGAAAACGCATTAATTTTATTTTTGAAATCTTTTTTCTCTAATATCATGTATTGACTGTCTGTTTTTCTTTTGAACATGTCATTATAACGTTAACTTGACTTTTTCTGTATCTTCCTAATGACTAGCTGAAGAGAATGGGCAATCATCTTGCTTACATATCTCTAGCATAAGTGTATTTGACAGAAATGAGAATATTTATAAACGAACTGGTAGACGAATGATTTGCTGAATTTTGATTAAAGCAACAGACTATTATACATTCAAAAGTCATCGATAAGACCAGTTTTATGTAAAACTTTGGTCTAGATTAAAGTGTTTCTAAAAATTAGACAGCTTATATTTCCTTTGAAACACTCAATCCGTACAGCTTAACATTCTATTCATAAAGGATTACAGTTTACTGAACTATTCTTAGACATATTGTAGCTTTAGATGATCTCAATTTTTGGTAAGTCAACTGATCTGTGATTTCTTTGATAGTCGAGTGGAATAATATGGGTATGATTATGCAAGAGAGTTTCAAATGGTTTCAGATGAGGCATACTGATAAGAACCAATAAAAATTAACATTTAGGCCTTCATATCAACCATTTCCAAACGGACTGGGAAAATCTACTTTAGAGCTTCATTTCCTGACCAAATGGCCCAGATTAGCGCTTCTGACTACTACTACTACTACTACTACTACTACTACTACTACTACTACTACTACTACTACTACTACTACTACTACTACTACTACTACTACTAATTAAAAATAGAGAACTGTAGTATGGGAGTAAAACTTGGGCACTGTGGTCGATTGTTATTCTATTTTAGTCTGTTTAGTACCTCTCAATCTGCTATTCAGCCCTGAAATTTAACAGAAAATCAATCAACTTAAGAGGATGTGACTAGGAATCATGTATATTTAGATTACTGGATGTTTGACGAATTAAGTAATAAGTCATATACATAAGTGTTTGTCCAGCTTGTAATTCAGGCGTATCCAGATATTACCGTTTTATCACTTGACATTCTGGATTGATATAGGGGATTGCTGTTTAAAAGTAGGTTTTTTCTGCTTCATCTAACTTTTCTGATACTAAGAACGTGAGATTTACTTGAAATAAAGTGCTAAGTGATGTTTATGTATCAGAATATGAGAATTCTGTTAGAAGTATTGCTTAAATTTATAACTTTTATGATTGTAGACATATTCCCAACAATTTAATCTTCATAAACGAAATCAAAGTTATTGACTGATTTGCCAATCAGACGGCTACTGCTGGTCTTATCTCATGAAATTGCATCGAAGGGAATATAAATCATTATCAAACGAAACACTTTTTAATCATAAAATGATTGTTACTAAGCTCTATCGTGTATTTATACCAGTTTTACAATATTCTCCCTTGAAGTTTGAAATCTTACTATGCATTCAGCTTATTTCTTCATTCCAAGAAGTTAGAATTATAATTTATACTTGTCATTTGTAAAGAAGTATTCATTTGAAAGTGTCCTTGACATGAATATTGTTCTTAATTAAGTTCATCATTGAAGCATTTCCACAAGCTTCACTGAATTCATATTCCTTAGAAGATTTGAACTTATAGTAGAACTTCACTATTTTACATATGCTAACGCCAAGGTATTCAGTATGTTGAAAACTCTTTATGTTTAAACCCTTTTAATATGAAAAAATTATTGGAAAAGAATAAATGAAGTGTTCAAGTACTGATTGTCAGTCAGTTGATAGTTTGTACTTCATATAAACACTAAACTTTCAGTCATCAATAATTTAGAAGTTAGTCTTGAGACAATAAGTTGTTAAAGCGGTTTAAGGAAAAAGTGTGAATAAATTAGTGGTATTACTCCGATCAGTTGTTATGTGAATCAAAATGAGATAAGGTTAAGTGGCACACGTGAATAGATAGTTCAACAAACAAAGAGAATGTACTAGTATAATTGCTTGTATTATACCGTTGTTGATTCAACCGAATTGACCGGTCTCCATTGGCATATGGGCTGTCGTGCGGATAGCCCGATATTACCTGTGTTCTAATTATAATAAAGATGGATAGTGGCTAACAGTGGAATCCAGGATGGCCATTTCGTCCTATTAGGGACTTGTCAGCTGGACATACCTGCCTCCCAGTGAGTGATGTTGTTCTCGCCGGGATTCAAACTGGGGAGCGATCGCCCATATGCCAACAGAGACCGATCAATTCGATCCAATCAACAACCATATAATACAAGCAATTATACTAAAACTAGACCCCTCACACAATAAGCAAGTTAAGTGGATTGGTGGTGTAGTGGATAACGACGCTCTGGCGTTTGAAGCGATCACTCCTGAGTCCAAATCCCAGTGAGGACGAGATCACTTACTGGGAGGCAGTTACATCTAGCGGACGTGTCCTAAATAAGACGAAATGAGCATTCTGGATTCCACTGTTAGCCACTATTCATCTTCACTATAAAGAGAATATATATTTAACAGTGAAAACAATGAACAGTTTTTAGCATTTCACGAATGAGAAAATATAACAATCCATAAATTGTAGGCCTAGGGTTTCAGATCTGTTAGATAATATAAAGTTGGTATTCATCGTCGGCTGACATCAGTTGGAAGAACGTTGGAGAGCTGAAAGTACTGGACAACTTCTTCGTCATAGTTTGCGACTCCTCAGAAGTGTCCACCAATGGCCCCTTCAGGGTCGAGCCCAGGACCTTCAGGTCCCGTGACAAGCACTTTACCATTTAGGTGCTGGGTAGGAATTCAGTGCTTCATATTTTTAACTTCTATCACTTCGCGACACAGCTTGGCCATCGTCCAATATCATCGTTGAGTATTTGTCTTCATGTCCACTAGGTTTGCCCCATGAGTCATGATTTTTCGTTATAACTTCGGGAATCACCTCTCGAAGCTAGTCGCCAATGAGTACCCGGTACTCAGCAAACCTGTTGACCGTGAGGACAAATACTAAGTGATGGTATTGGGTAATGGCCATGCTAAATCACGAACTGACAGAAGTTGCAAATATGCACCACTGGATTCCGGCCCAGTGGCTAGTTGGTAACATGCTGGTCACAGAACCTAGAGGTGCTGAGTTCTATCTTTGGCGTTATGAATTCGTGGACGAGTACAACTGAAGAGTCCGATACTAAGACGAAACAGCTGTTCAATGCTTCCGGGTTTTCAAAATTCCTCCAATTGATGTCAATCCATGACGAATACCAACTTGAAATCAATAAATCCCTTAAAAATCGGTAAACTGGATTAGATAATCTTGAAAACATCAATATAGGACTATACTTAAAATGCAATACATGCCCTTTGAGAAATAACAGTAATTGCTGAAATTGAAATAATTCTTGTTCGCAAAAATACAAAACAAAACATAACGGGCAAATAAATGAAAATCAACATCTACTGTTCTATCGATTTTTGTATAATCAAGTAAAATGCATAAAAATGAGGTCACTTGAAAAGGAAGATAAAATTGAATGAAAAGGTGTTAATAAGATTTGAATTTAATCCTTAAATAAAGTTTTTTGGATGAATTTGAGGGCGATTTTAAAGGCCATCCCGAAATAACCAATCACATTTCTTCATTTCGGCTAGAAAGGTAAATCTTCATAAAATAGAGTAGTCTGATTGGTTATTTCAGTTATTGCTCAGGTGGCCTTTAAAGTCATTCTGCATTTGACTTGTAATTTGTATGAGTAATGATATAGCCATTAGCTTGTTTAGAAGAATAATATACAGTAGTACAATATGAAAATGCTCTACAGGTGTGTTATACAAATTAAAGATAAGCTTCCTTGTTTAACCGCCTCTATGTGAAACTACCAGTTCACCTGCTGTTATGGAGCAAGGTACACCAGCCGTAGTCAGAGAATGCTTTCTACACGTACACGAGAACATATTCTTGATTAATTTTATAAAATTGAAAGGAAGTCTGTTCAAATTTCGATTCTAGAACATTTGATTGATTTCCATCACTTAACAAACCCAGACAATGATTGAAACTATTTATCGAATTCACCCAAATCTCCCAGGTTTTCTTCGTTTTCAACTGCTTAAAACAGAGGAGGCTTTAGCTGTTCACAAACTAAAACCTGATCTATGTGTACAAAAGAAGTATGTACAGTCATAGCCATAATGTTTTCCCACTCCCACTAGCTTCTCCTCTCCCTATGTTAACTTAACCTTAGTATTTTTCCTTTATCACCATCATTATTATAATTGCCTTCACTTTGATTATTTTCCGGTGTTATTTCACCTAATTGTCTTAATCTTTTTAGAAAACATTGATTTCATTTTGGTCAACTTGTCTAATCCTATTGCATAATACTTAATTGTGGTAATGACAGATAGCGGCTAACAGTGGAATCCAGAATGCTCATTTCGTCTTATTTAGGACACGTCCGCTAGATGTAACTGCCTCCCAGTAAGTGATCTCGTCCTCACTGGGATTTGGACTCAGGAGTGATCGCTTCAAACGCCAGAGCGTCGTTATCCACTACACCACCAATCCACTTAACTTGCTTATTGTGTGAGGGGTCTAGTTTTAGTATAATTGCTTGTATTATATCGTTGTTGGTTGAGTGCGTTGAACACTTTAACTACCTGGGAAATCAGATCAGTCCTGGTGGCTCAGTCACCTATGAAATATCTGCACGAATACAAAAGGCTCGGTTAGCTTTTGTCAACTTACCCCACCTATGACGCTGCCATGATATCCAATTGTCTATTAAGGGTCAAGTGAACTGTGCTTTACTCGGCTCTGTTCTACTGTATGGCTGTGAAGCGTGGCCACCAAAGGTAGAAGAAATAAGGAAGCTTAAGGTGTTTGACCACATTTGCCTTCGTAACATAGGTCGTGTTTCGTGGTGTCACCACATGAGTAACTTAGAAATCACATGTAAGGTTTAAGGAGTAGAGGTAAGATATTTGATGAGGTTATGAACTTTCATCGACTAAGATTCTTCCTTCCTCTATTTTACCACTTTCTTCATTTTCTATTTTATTGCCTTGTTTACTTGATGTACTGATATGTGGTGAAGCAACTTGGATCTTAACGTAGTATTGCCTGATCCTGTGTTGATCTTGATGATGATGACGAAGCATTTCGTCTAGTAAGTGGTTTGGAGTTGTGTTAAAAGTACAGATAAAGTATTTTGATGAGGTCAGTTTAAAATGATCATAATGTGATGAATACATGAATACAGAAAATGCTTAAAGATATGCAGGTTAATGTAAATGAAAAAAACAGTTAGCTAAGCTTAAAAACATGATTTATAGAATTCAACTATTAGCAGTCAGTTGATAAGTGTACTGGATTATTTGACTAAACTAGGAGATACAATAGCGGAAATGCTCTTTGCACTGAATTTATGCAACATCATTGTTATACACACATACATAGTTGAGTTTTACTTAAGGCAACCAATTACGTGTAACCTAAATAGATTTCTAAACGACATAAATTGATCATAATTATCAAAGACATCAGCTACCCTAGTATCAATTCTTATTATCTACTTATAAGGAAGGTTTTAACAAGAAGATAGAGTCTATCAACCAAAGTCCAGGTAAATGAATAAATAAGTACACAACTTTAGTTTATTTTTATTTAACGTTGTTATTCATCGTAGACTGACATCAGTTGAAAGAACAGTGGAAACCTTGGACCACTCGACAGCTGTTTCTTCGTAGTATGGGGCTCCTCAGCAGTGCGCACCCACGACTCCACCCTCCGGAGATCGA